TCAGCATGGTTGCCATTTATGACCTTGACAGGAACAGTTTTGATAGAGAAGACAGGCAAAGGCCTGACCAAGGAGGGTTCAGAAGAGAATGGAAGAAAAGAATTGAAGACAGGAGGGATGGCCAGCTCTTTTAAAGAGTATTATTATATGGTAAAACACTTAGGCTCTATTTTTTTTCTGTGAAGGGAAAATAGAACTTTAAAAAAACACAACAAATTATTTTGTGGTCATTATAGAGGATGGTTAATTGTAGGGTTAGCCAAAAATAGGTTTTGATGTGCCTTGCAAACATTAGCTAGCTGTTAAAAGTCTCTTTTACTTCCCTTTAAAAGAAATAAAAGAGATGTTTAATGGAAAGAAGTGATTACATGTAAAAAGTTATGATCATTTACTTATTTTAGAGGGGAAGTAACAATAATGATGGTTGATTGATTTTTATAAAATTACTCAAGGTCACTTGTGGGATGTAGTCAGCTTTCAGGAAAGCAATTTAAGGGTCACAGTCAAAGGCTGGTCTCAGCCCTGCTCTTTATTTTAGCTTTCAGAAATAGGGTCGAGCTCTATAAAGTGAAAAGATAAAGTCCTCCCACTGTCCTCCCATTCTCAAGTCACTGTCCTGTGAAGCAGGCCACTCTGTATTTATTGTAAAGCAATAAAGCGTGAGGATAGAAATCTTGAGGTCTTGGTGCAGATCTGGAGCACGTATAAGCTTTATTTTCACAAAGAGAAGCTTTCACTCTGCTTATTGCTTATTGTTTCAGGCAAAAAATAGCTGAATTCCTCATCAGTCTCTCCTCTTAATGTACCTAGATGCACTTGTATTTGCCACTGATGAAGTGGGGAACGGTTGGTTTTTGGCAGGGGTCAGTGATGTTTGCATTAATTAGTCCAACTGATAGCACTCTTCACAGTACAAACTATTCCTTTTCTTTGAGTAGAACTCTTCTCCCTTCATTAACAGCATTATTGGTTCTGGTCAGTAACCAATGTTTCAAAATTTCTAAAATTTGTTTCGGTGTATTTAATATTTTGCTTACTGCTGTAAGGGACAAAGCCCAGGTTTATTCATTTGTCCACTAATCCTTATAATCTGCTTCAAATCCTTTTTGGAACGAGGTGAGGTGTATCTCCATTAACAAAATTAAACCATATACAAATAAGCCATAGGCAAAAGTACTTAGGTTAACACATGTTTTTTCTTAACCCTAATTAGTAAAAAACTACCATTTGTAGAAATGGGTAAAATATGAGCTTTTCTATAAGGTGGCCCTAGGTTCTAGTGCTTGGCTCTACCTCTTCTGGGCTGGAGGAGGTCTGAGCTTCTTTCTCCAAGCCCATGTCATGCTTTGCAAAATAGAGAATGGGAGGTTGACCTTGAAGACTTATTTTAAAAGTCATTTCAGGCAAAAATTTAAAGATTTTTTGGTTCATGGTAGTGCCTAACAAAGGTTAGCACCCTTGTTTTCCTATAGTCTAATTTGAATTGTTGACCATACATAGATTTTTCTCAAGTGAAATTCTAAGTTCACTGCAGCCTAGTTGGTGTGGGGAAAGCATGAGCTTCATGTCTCCATTAGTGTCAAATGTGCAGTTGATTGCACTCTTAAAGATGGGCATGTTCAAGGCTCTAGAGTGGGGAGGACCCTCAGTGTATACACGATTCTACCATCCACTTTGCCAATGAGAAAACACACTACACCTGAGTAATCTGAAGCCCAGAGATTTTTTGAGGGTCACTTAGAACCTGATAGCAGAGTCAAGATAGGAACTCAGAGTCTGTACCCCGCCTTTGCCACTTACTCATCAAGGTCATTTTGGATTTCCTGATTATTTGAAATAAAGAGTTCTGCCATGCAAATCCATGATCCAGCACTTGAACATATTTAGTTATGATGTTAATGAAATGTGACTGTGTATGAAAGTTTTAGTTAACATAAATATGTGAACCACATCAGAAGATGTGTTTTTTTCTCCTTGTTTTCAGGGGGATTCATATTGATTACTGCATTTCTAGGTGCAATGATAATGGAAGGGAAAATTAAAGTCAAAATTGCTCGTGGTTCCTATGGACGTCTGGTAATCAGAGTACAATTGCTACAGCATGAGTCTATAGACTGACAGAAGAGAGTTCCCTATTTTTGCATTTACTTACCTTATAGAATAATTTTTATGATGTGGTCCAAAGGGAAAGTCAGGACTGGTAGCAGTGAGATGCTAAAGTGATGGGACAACGGTAGCAATAGCCTGGGGAGCCGAAATGGTGAGTGTGGTGGCAGCAGACTCCATTACATTAAGAATCCGGTAGCTATCAGACCCTAGAGCAAGGACCTATAAGTATCATTTTAATAACTTTCACCATAATTCTCTGAAGGAGGACTTCTTCCCATGAACATCTTACAGAAGGAGAAATTGTATGCCTGGATGAGGTCTGTCAATCTAATTGTGGCTGAACAGAAAGAGTCATGAGGGGTCAAGTCCAAATAAATATCTTGTGCCTGTTACTGATGGTGTGTGGCTTGGAATTTGTGAGTGAAGACTGAAAGTCTTGATGAAGTGAGGCAAAGAAAACTCAAGAAAGTTTCAGAACAGAAGGTCAGGGAAGAAGTGGCCTCTACATTTGACTATTGGTCAAACATTTATTAATCATTATCTCTGCACTAAGATGAAGGTTAAAAAAATAACTAAAGGCATCTTAGCCTTTTCCTTCTCTACCTCTCATTCCTCCAGAGTGTGATTAATCACTCTCAGTTGTTATTTCTGGACAGAAGCAATGATTCAACTCGATAATTTGGCACACTGGATATAGGAATAAATTTAGCAGGTTCGGGTCTTTGCTGTCTATAGCTCCTCACTAAGATTCACCGTGTAATAATGGAATCTACCCTTTGAGCCACTTTTTTCTGGGGCGGGGGGCGGGGAAGGGAGATACTAGGGATTGAACTCGGGAGCACTTGATCACTGAGTCATATCCCCAAGCCTATTTTGTATTTTATTTAGAGATAGCTCTCACTGAGTTGCTTAGTGCCTCGCTTTTACTGAGGCTGATTTTGAACTCATGATCCTCCTGCCTCAGCCTCCTAAGCTGCTGGGATTACAGGCATGAGCCACCATGCCTGGCTCCTTTGAGCTATTCCTAACATGCAAATTCAGCAAAAGAAATTCTAAGCAAAAGAAGATCAAATGCATAGGATTTGAGGTCTGATTGAAAACCAACAGGCAGGTCAATATATTTGGAATATATAGTAGTCAGCTTTTTATTACTATAATGAAGTACTGGGTGCAGGTTACTTTATATAAAAAGAGATTTATTTTGACTTAAAGTTTAGAGGCTAGAATTCCAAACAATATGGTGCAACCTTTTGTAAGGTCCCCCTTAGCTATTGCATGTGGCAGGAACATGTGCATATCTCTGTGTGGTCTCTCTCCCTCTTCTTATATAGCAACTAAGATTCAATCACAGGGGCTAGACGCTAATGATCTAATCGAATCCAATCTAATCACTTCCCAGTGGCCCCCCCTTCTAAACGTAGCATGTCAAGTTTCCAGCCTCTTACTTCCATTAACATAAAACTTTGGGGTATAAACCGCTGCATGAGTTTGAGGGGGATCAACCATATTCAAACTATAGCAGAGCAGATGAATGAAAGAGTATATTTCAAAAGATGATGTTGGAGAGATGTTCAGAGATGGGTGGCAAATCAAGAGGGGTCTTTTGTAGCTCAGTATAAGGACTTTGAATTATTCTGAACAAGATGGGAAGCTGTTATAGGGTTTGGAAAAGAGAACCTCTGGTGCTTCCAATATAGTCACAACTTTAACCACTTCTGTACAGAGTAGAAAAGTATAGTGCAGTATGTTTGCAAACCACTTTTAGCAGGAAGATAGATTTAATGGCTTGTTCATGTTAAGTGTTTACATGTGATACTTTAATTATTTCAACATTATTGAGAAATTGTGTATTACATGTAAATATTTTAAATCCTTCTGAAGAAAGATATTATAGAGATAAGAGTATCTTTTTGATATTGAATTATTTGCTCTCACTATTGAGAATAGTTTTATCTTAAAATTATATTTCTGTGTTATAGATAACTGGGAAATTAGAGCAGAATGGTGTCTGAATCAGTTAAGGTTATGGGTTGTAAATAACAGAAGTTTAACTCTCTTTTAAAAGGAAACATATCAGGAAGGTATTGGGTAGTGTACTGAATCAATGGAAATCAGTTTGCAAAGCAGGCATAGAAACAAACAGGAATCACGGCATTGGATAGGGAGGTGACAGGTGGAGGTCTCAGAAGCAGGAACTCTTCCAAGACTCTTTAGAATACCACCACTGGAATTAAGATTTAATCATTTCCTGTCTTTTCTCCCCCTTTGCTTCACATTCCTTTTGAAATTTTATTATGTGTCTTAAGCTATAGTAGGAAAAGAAAGTCTTGATTGGCAATGTCCCTCAAATCTATTCAATGGAGGCAGAACTCTCAAAGAAATTAGTGTCTATCATCAAAAGAAAGTATAATGGATGATACCAGTTAAAAATGCCACAAGTGACATTATGTTAGCCCTAATTGTATTACCTTTTATTGTAATTCTTTTACTTTTGGCACATTTCTTCTCTCCCTATTTTTTTATACTTGTTTCCCAATTTTTATAAGCTTTATTTTGTAAGCTGTTTTTATCTCTTGTTAAATGATAAAGTTAGAAGCCTTCTAATGCTTTGTTTAACCAGTCCTAAATTTCTGTATGTTTAGATTATTGTCTTGAAAAATATTACAAATGAAGCTTTAGAATGCCTTACTTAACTGGCTTAATAAAACATTGTTTCTATTCTTGAGTGTCAGATATACCCTAATATAGTTCTGGAAAAGAGTGTAAAATAAAATAAGTCTAAGTTCCAGAAAAAGTATATAAATGAAGGGGATTTCATCAGGCATTGGAACTGTCAAAAATGGGTGAGACATACCCTCTTAGGGACTGACTGTTTTCTCTTTGTCTATTAGGGGGCAAGCTGATTTTTATGGATCCAGGACCCATCCAGCTGAGGGCCCACTCCATCCTTGTTTCTGATGGTGGAGAACTCCGGATTGGATCCAAGGGCAAGCCTTTCCAAGGCAAAGCTGAGATCAAACTCTATGGGAGTTCCCACTCTATGCCCTTCTTTCCCTTTGGAGTCAAGTTCCTGGCTGTGAGGAATGGAACTCTTTCCTTGCACGGTGAGTGAGGCAGTTGACTAGAGGAAATGAAATAGGGCTCTGTATAGTAAATGTGCAAGCAGTAAAAATCGATGTATAAAAATGGAAAATTTACATCTTTCACTAATCAGTGAGCATTCATAATCTACCTTTATGTGCTTACAAGTCTTTGTGATTAAGCAAATGCCAAAGAAATCCCCAGTGCCAATGCTTACAGTCAGTATGATGAAACTGAAGCACAGTAGATGAGTCTGATGTGTTTTGAGAATTTTGAAAGTTAAAAGACACTTTGCCTTTCCAGCTGTGCGATGCTACTGGGTATGGAGAGTGAGACTTCCTTTCCCTCTGCTTCTTTCATTTTTATCTTCTCTTTCCTTTTCCTCCTTTTACCCTATTTCCTCTTCTTTATTCCCTTTCTTCCTCCCACCCAACTTCCCTCTCCATTTATGTTTTCAGATTAGACTGCCATCAGTGTCTATTCAACTGCTTCCCCAAAGCCCTTCCCTCAGGGGGTGTCTAGGATCTCACATGACATAGAGCTTGCACATTGAACACACGTGAAATAAAGCTATTTCCTCTCTATATAAGACTGTCCCCACTTCTATATTATATAGAAAAGAGTAGCCACTGATGTGAGGTGTATAGTGATGTATCTATCAGAGAATCCCAGGCACCTCTGTGGCTCATCAATCTTCTCCCTCACCACCTGAGGTCTCAAACAGATTTCCCCTCCAGCATGGTGGTATATCATGGTTAAAATCTTTGCATAATGTCCCTGGCCTTTTCCCAGGGCCAAAGGTGGGTCTGATGACACTGAGGCTTTAGAGAAAAACTAATTTTCTTTTGCTGTCAAGTATGCAAAAGAGTGAGCAATGTGATTCACTGCTTTGTACCCAGAAAGTCCCTAATGACCCAACATTCACTCTACTTCTCAGAATAGTATAATTCACCATTATTAGGTGCATAGAAGACTCTTTTGGGGAGAGTGTATAAATCTAGATTTCTGGGTCTCATCCCCAGAGTCTGATTCAGTGGGCCTGGGGTGGAACCCAGGAATGTGCATTTCAACGGAACCTACATGTGGTTTGATTCAAATGGTCCCCTGACTGCACTTGGAAATTCACTGATTTTAGTAGTTGACAGTTGTGGAATCAGAAATTGGTTTAGTTCTGTTACTTTTGAGCTATGACTTTGGACAAATTAATCTCTATGAAAGCAGAAAACAGCCCCCATGCTGTGCTCATGAAGGGTTTCTGAGTATCTGGCACACAATAACACACAAGCAGTATTAGCTATTACTATTTTGATTATATTCTTTTTCTTTTTCTTAAATCATGGAGTACCCAGTACCAAATATATCATATTTTCTTTTAGGGGGTAAGGAAATGTTGAGGGGGCAGAGGCTTTTATTTCAAAATTTGGCATAGGGCCTGTCCTGCCTAGCAATTTTTGTCCTTATTAAATTTTGTGCCTATCTCTTCATCAGCTAGGAGAGGATTTAGCCTTGGAGATTATGAGTCAACAACATTCCCAGGCACCTTTTGTTCTGTTCCCACCACCCAGTGAACACCTTTAGATTTTAATCTCTCCGGGTGCAGCTGCTTTTCAGCACAGGACAACCACTGTCCCTGGACATGGTTAGAACCAAGTTCTTGGAAACCACTTTCGTGGGCCCTAGCATACTCAGAAGTAGAGCACTGCTCAGCAAATCAGGCCCTTTGCAGCCTTGATTTTGAACATACAGAAGTACAGCCACTGATGGATTCTAATTTACTCCTTGCGTAATACTGTTCCCATCCTCTCTCTCCCTTTGTGTTCTTCATTATTGCCCTTTGTAACCCTTCTGCTCTAGCTGATTTTTATCATAGATTAAAATGCTAAGCAAACAGGCTTTGCTGTTCAGTTGTCACAAGAAAAGCTGGAGTTGAAAGCACATTTTATGTCTTTCTATAATTGATGAAACTTTCACACACTCATGTATAGAAGACTTTCACCAGACATTAAACCACCCCTTCTCCCATATACAGCTGTACAGGACAGGGGATGTTCTGAATCTTGGGTGGAGTTCAGATTATTTAGTAAGCTCTGTCACCTGCTCACTTTGATGTGTTATATGATGAAAGGGTTGTAGGATTCCTCCAGAATAAAGGTCTGAGGTTTGGGTGGTTGTAGTCAATAAGGAAATTTCACTCTTGCCTTTTGCCTTGGCTGTCCCATCTGCCAATCCAGCTTCACCACCTCGAATAGAGTGCCAATCACTTGTCACTTTTCAAGGGGGTCGCTGTCAGCCTGGGCAACTTGAATTTTTGACAATGTAATTATGGCTCTTGCTTCCACAGTGGGAGGCTGAGCAGAATGGTGGGACTTTTATTGATTGTTCAGCAGGGAAATTTATCAATGTCTCTCATTTCATTTCCAGTTCCTCCCTGAGAAATTTGGTTGACAGTTTCTTAGGAGAAAAGCAGTATTACGGCCTTGACTGGACTTCTGTCTTTGTCCTTTTCAAGAAATTACAATATACAGACATTAAATATAAATGGAAATTTCCGAGAAAAAGCTAGTATGTAGGAAATGATTGAGGAAAACACTAGTGCAATTGTTATGATCATAAGAATTTAGTAGAAATAAATAAGGGAAAAAAGCAATGTAAGTAAGCAAGTTTAGACATGGCTGGTTTTCTTTCTGTAAGTACCATGTTGTCTGTATTTCACAGTTCTTGTGAACACTGTACTGTATTCTATTATTTTGGTTGCTAAAGAGAATAAGGCTGTGGTTAAGCACAATCCAGTGTGCATGGAGTAGGATGTGTATGTAGAAGTGTGTTCCTGATTAGTGATTTTCAAACTGTGTTGCATGGAACCCAAATGCTTCCCGGAGGGCCTTTCAGGGTTCCAAAAGCTGAAGTATTTGGAAGTCACCTTATCACTCCATTACCACTCTTCAAGGTCCATAGAGCCATGTGAGAAGATGCGATTTTGCTTTGCAAGGACCAGGAAGTGTGGGGTGTGTGCACCTGAGTGCGCATGCATGTATGTGTATGTGTGCTTGAGTGAGGATATGTTCTGGGAATCATCACACCCAAAGAAAGATAGTTCCAGAAGAAAAGTGTTGCTGGGAAGACAAAACCCATAGGTACCCTCTAAGTTACTTCAACTAAAATCTTAAGATTTTGACTTTTAATTCAGGATCTAATATTTCAGATTGACTGAAGATCATAGGGAGGAACAGTCATATTTGGTACAGTATTTATTATTGTATAAACTGGAGCATAAAGTTGAAGTCATTTGTCATTTAGGCTGAATAAAATGTGTGTGGGATCAGGCAAATGAAAATGCCTATTAAGTTCCTGGTACAGAATCCGGAGCATAGAAAGGTCTTATCAAATATCAGCAGAGATTTAAAAGATTGCTGAAATGTTTTCTCTAATTGGACCCCAAATTTGAAAGTTTGATGTTTCCCAGAATTTTGAAATCTCTCTTTATCCAAGAGCCATTATATACTCTATTTTTTTTTAGTATATATTATGGCTTTCCTCCTTCCTCTCCAGGGATCTTGGATTTCTTCAGTTCAGAATTGAAAGGGTGTTCTGCCTTCCCCTAATTTTATCACCACAAAAAATTAGATGGGATTTCATGGGAAACAAGCTGGTATGGTGTGTTAATTGGCTGCAAGGCTACACAAATGGGAGAGGTACATTTTTAGGGATGTTTGGGAGACAGAATAGACTTGTTTTTCTTTGATCACTATCATTTTCCTCCTCCTCCCCCCACCCTCCTCCTGCGTATATGTATGTATGTTATAGGAAGTTGAACCCAGGGTTACTCTACCACTGAGCAATATCCCTAGCCCTTTCTTTATCAATTTTTATTTTAAAATTTAATTTAACTGTTTTTGTGTTGCAGTACTAGGGATTGGACTAGGACATTACACATTCTTGACTAGCAGTCTGACACTGAGCTACATCCCCAACCTTTTAATTAATTAATTAATTTTGAATTTTGAGATACCATCTCACCATGTACTTGCCAGGACTGGCCTTGAATTTGCAATCCTCCTGCTTCAGCTTTCTGAGTTGCTGGAATAAAGGTGCACCACAGTTCCCAGCTTCATCCATATTCCAATGGATATTTTTTACTGTCCTTTAACAACACCTTGGGCTGGTACTTTTCATTTGCTTTCCCATATTACAAAAGTCAGGTTTAATGAATCCAGTTTAAGCCTTCAGTCTTGTACTTTTCAAACATTCCTTTCTCCCCCTAAAAAGCTGTAGCAGAGGTGCTTGGAGTGGTAGGCATGCAGTCTGCTGCTTCATTCTTCCTTCCAACTTTCTTGTTGTACATTCTCTTGCTGTGGGCAAGTAGGGGAGAGGTAAGGCAAGAAATTGAACAAGCCTTTCACTTAACTGTGCAGTGTGTGTTCTTTTGGGTGTTGCTACCTCTCTGGATAACACTGGCTGACTGTTGATTCTCTCTCCTAAGGTGTCTGCATGACATCATTGGAGCCTGGTAGGAGATCTTCCCAGGGCACAGTTTCCCAATCTGGAAAACCCACCAGGGTTTGCAATATTCTAAGCTTCCACCGTGGGGTTGGTGTTGAATGGGGTACCAGAAAGTTGGTTCAGGTCCGTCTACCTTGCCTAGAATTCACTTGATCATAGGAAGTTTTTACAAATCCTTCCCTACCCATAGATGCTCCACTCATCACCTATTTCACTGTCCTGTGCATATGCTAATTCTTACCACTGTTCAGAGGTGTGAACAACAGCAAATATGCTACATATGCAAGCATTTAATCTGGAAAAAAGTCCATCTCCCCTGCTCTCAGGAAGCTTCATGGGGATATGTACAAAGCTCTCTGTCTTTGCTTATATGGAAAAAAATAGCCTCATGCATTCTCTGAGGTCCTTTGAATCTTCTCTCTTTATCACTTATAGCCTGAATGGGGTCTGCTCCAGAGATGGCTGAGATGGTAGATTTAGATTAGTCTCCTTTAGCTAAGTCCAAGTAGATGCCTACTCCCTA